CTGGAAACGTAGCACCTAGTTGTATGGCGTTAGTCTAGAGGGTTTCGTTGCTTTGTTGTGTGTGTGTGTGTGTGTGTGTGTGTATATATATGATCACACAAAACGGACCACAGTGGAGAGTGAGCCCCATAGGCCTGGTCCCCACCTAGCCCCCACTTCGGACTAAGGTACGCAAATTCAGCTACGTTAATAATGTAGCTGAATTCGAAGTACCTTAGTCCGAACTTACCGCGGGTCCAGATGCGGCAGGAAGGCTTCCCCGTCGATGCCGCGTACTCCTCTCGGCGAGCTGGAGTACCGGCGTCGACGGCGAGCACTTCCGGGATCGATTTATCACGTCTTAACCAGACGCGATAAATCGATCCCAGAACATCGATTGCATGCCGCCGGACCCTCCGGTAAGTGAAGACGTACCCATAGTCTTGTGCTACAGTATAGTTGAAACTAAATATTTAAATTTCCAATGTAAGTCTAATGTGTCTGTTCAATTGTTCTGCTATAGGGTGGCCTGGATTACCAGCTGAACACATGTTGTGGGAGCCCAGCTTATGCAGCACCAGAGTTAATTCAGGGCAAAGCTTACATTGGCTCAGAGGTATTTAATGCAATGTCCTTCCCTGATATAGTGTCTTAAATATGCTTTGAACGTTACATACGTAAACACTAGCATAACTAGACTTAGCTTTAAACACTTCCTTGTGTAATTGCCCCTGCAAGTCTTCGCTGCAGGAGTCTTGCTTAGCCTGGACAGTGGTGGATTCATGCTAAAGTAGCACACAACACACGGTCTTTAGCACACTTCTCACTGTTCTTCTTGACTAGTTCTCCTCCGACTGCTCCTTGGTTGTGTCCTGCAGAACATCATCCTGAGCTCCCTCCAACACTGAGTCTCTTCATGAGCTCATCCACTCCTGGAATTGCCTCTACACTAACTCCCAAGCTTTCCTCTTCCCTCTGTTCAGTCTCCTCTGCTATTGTCTCAGACGTCTCTTCTTGGAATTTGTGCTGCCAACTTAAACAGAACGCATCAGAACTACTCCTCTGAAGTGAATACCACAGTTTGTTCCATTTCTAAGGCCTACTGTTGTCTTTGTCTCTTTCCCTCACATTAAAGCTTCCCCTTTTCCCCTCCCCCCACCCTGGTGCAGAAACAGAAGATCAAAGCTAGGCTAGATTGCTGTAACCTCTTTTCCTAACACCCATCTTGTACCTAGCCAATCTATCCCAAATGTCTCCAACTTCCGAATTACTGCTCTGACACATCAGCCTTATCCCAAAGTTTCTTCACTTTCGGTCCCCCTCTACATCCGTGTCAAACTCCTCCTTGCTCTCCTGTCTCTTTGCACCAGTGTCTTGGCCTGCATTTTGCTAGTCACTCCTGCTTGCAGGATTTTGCTCTCCACCAGTTCAAAAGCCTTTCACATTTCCCTGTTTCTGCTTAGCGTTTCCTTTTGGGTCAGTGGGGAGTACTTGCTCTGGTGCTCTATACCTAGACTTGGCAGGATTTGATTTAAATTAATAGAGGCCAGTAAACCTCTGTTTCGGCTGACACGGAAATCGACCAAAAAAATCCATCAGTAACAATAGTGGGCATGTGCAGAGCCTCCCCACATGCATCTTGTGCCTGCAGGGATTGGGTGTCACTGGCCCCACGGCCATGTCACAGCTCCATTCCCTCCCATGATGGTGAGGCTGCAGAGTGCTCCCTACTTGGCTGTGGGGCCACTGGATTCCCTGCAGGTGCAAGATGTGGACAAAGTTGTGGTCCTGGCAGGGCAGACACCCCTCATCTCTCCCTCCCCCCCCCCCCAGCTAGAGTTACAAGGAGGACGAATTGCTGGGGAGGCCACTTCGCTGCTGAATGGCTCTCCTGCCTAGAAGTGGCCTCTGTGACCAGGGGCTTATCGTCTTGCTGCTCCTCCTCCTCTCTGCTCTTCTAGCTGGTGGCCTCTGCACGTTGCATCTGCAGAGTCCCAGTGTCATGGGACAGTCCTTCTGCAGTTCCATTGTCATGACCCCTCTCGCTCACCAGCCAGGAGTACTGGGACCATCCCCAGGCAAGAGTTCTTCAGCAGCAGGGTGGCCTCCCCATGACTGCTGGCTCATCCTCCGCCTTGCAACCCTGCTAGGGTTGCGCTCCACTGGGCCATGACTGCAGCCTCTTCTTCCCCCCCCCCCCTTTGCTCCTGGGTGTCTTGTCCCTGCAGCTCTGCTGTCAATGCTGCCCTAACCCCGAACCTATCCCCTCTGAATTTCCTGCAACTGTAATATACAAATTGAAATTGCTGCAAAAACAACCAAATTCTGCCAATCCTATTTACACCCTGCTTGTGCAGATATAGGGCAATTGGCACCTACTACAGCACTCAATTCACTTAGAAAATAGAAGTGGCTGGGCTGGCAGCAACTGCCATGACAAATAAGCAGCATCCCGAGCTGCTCCTCATGATCAGAGTTAATATTAGCACGTAGGAACAAGGTGTTTTGTTGCCTGGTCTCATCTGCAGCACTAAAACTTTCCATGTCAAGATTCTGTGCAGCAATTTCTCTCCCGTAGAAATCCAACAAATCTGGCTGCACTTGAAGACTGGGGGAGAAGATGTGGCTTTAGCAGTGCTCTGACAAGTAGCAATTACTCCAAAGTTGAGTCAGGGAAAGGTCAACTTGCCACTTCTGAGTGTGCTCTTCTTTGGAGAACATCCTTTAGCTCCAATATCCTTTGACATATGAACATAAAGTTACTTCAGTGATGTGTGGCCCCTGTATTGAGAATGGACAGAACATTGTTTCTCATTAAGCAGTTGTACACATCCTGGGAAAGTATTGAGCTGCCAGATCTTTTAACCTCTACTCACTTTTACTTGACCCTTCATAGTGTTGGTTTGTTTCTTTTAGGCAGATATATGGAGCATGGGGGTTCTCTTGTATGCTCTGCTGTGTGGCTTTCTCCCGTTTGATGATGAGAATGTCATGGCGCTCTACAGGAAGATAATGGTACGTAGTTTGGATTTCCTAAAGCACTATCAAGCATAAGCGAAGACTTTGCATAGTAAATAGGCAAGATGTCCTATATCTTGGCCTATTGCTTTCTGGTGATTGAATGTATTGCTATTGTCACATGTTTAATAGTTTCTTGGTCTTTGCTTTTGTGCTGTTTACAGAATGTTCACTAACTGTTAAAGAAACTGATACACAAGTAAACTTTCTCAAATCCAAAATAGGTACATCAGTACGAAAGTAGCTCTAAAATGCATGTAGTGAAATAAGCTAGGCTGTTACACTTCTGTTTCTTGCTTAATCTGAAATAAAGGATTAAAAAGACCTTCAATTTATTATCCCCCCTGGGAAGAGGAATAGGGCTAATGGTTCATTTATTAGGTTTGTGACAAGGGATCAGTGTGAAGCAAATGCAGATACAATAGGATTTAATATAAATTCTTCAGTTGGAGAACTCTTTAGAATACCCACAGAAACAAAACTAGGTTTAGCTTGTAATGACAGGGCAGAAATCAACTTTGGGTTGGGGAGGAACTTTGGATCAAGTGATTGTAGAAATCAAATCTACACTAGTAGATCTAGTAAATCTACACTACAGAAGTAGTGAATCGCCAGCGAAGACTAGATTCTAAAACAAAAGGAGGAGCATTGCCTCAGAAGTAGAAAAGAGGAAACTAGGAGATTTGGAGGGTCAGGAGGGGCAAGGAAAGCTGTGTGCAAATACTGCAGATATGGAATGAAATGGTTTTCCAAGGAGTTACCACTGAAACTTTGAATCATAGGGTTAGGAGGGACTGCAAGGGATATCTAGTCTAACCCCCTGCCAAGATGCAGGATTTGTTGGATCTAAACCATCCAAGACAGATGGCTATCCAGCTTCCTTTAGAAAACCTCCAGTGAAGAAGCTTCTACAACTTCTCTAGGCCTCTGTTCCACTGTCCTCCTGTTCTTACAGTTAGGAAGTTTTTCTGGAGGCTTAATCTAAGCCTGCTATGCTGTAGTTTGAACACACTGCCTCTTGTCCTGCCCTCCTATGGCAAAAGAACAACTTTCTCCACCTTTTTTATGGCAGCCTTTCAAGTATTTGAAGATCACTATCATGTCCCCCCCCCTTAACCTCCTCTTTTCCAAACTAAATATGCTCAGTTCCTTTGACTTTTGTTCATATGGTTTGCTTTCCATATCTTTGATCATCTTTGTCGCTCGCCTCTGGATCCTTTCCAGTTTCTCTACATCCTTTCTATACACTGGGGCCCAAAATTGGACACCGTACTCCAGCTGAGGCCTAACCAGCTCTGAGCAGAGAAGTACTATCATCTCCCGTGACTTGCATGCTATGCTTCTGCTAATGCAACATAAAATTGCATTTGCTTTTGTTTGCAACAGGATGACATTGCTAACTTGTGTTGAGTCTGTGATCCACCACAACTCCCAGATCCTTCTCAGCAGTGCTGCTGTCACACCAGTTATCCCCCCATTCTGTATTTATGCGTTTGGTTTTGGATCTTGTCCCTCAAGGTTTTTTTTTTAAGAACTAACTTGTATAGTGGGATCAGTAGTGATGAATTAGCAAGAGTGAAGGGATTGTCAAATGAGAGCAGTAGCCCAACCTGCTTTCCGTGATTTAATGCTGCCTGACTCACTGTTTCGTTGCACTGACACGAAAGATGATGCAGCAAACAACTTCCCTTTGTCTCCTCTCTACTCTTGTATATTTGTTCACTTCCACCCGCCCCTGACCCCTGTGATACCACAAGTATCAGGGGGTAGCCGTGTTAGTCTGTATCTACAAAAACAACAAGGAGTCTGGTGGCACCTTAAAGACTAACAGATTTATTTGGGCATAAGCTTGTTGCATCCGAAGAAGTGAGGTTTTTACTCACGAAAGCTTATGCCCAAATAAATCTGTTAGTCTTTAAGGTGCCACCAGACTCCTTGTTGTTTTTGTGATACCACAGACTGGCTGGCTGTCATACTGATTGCTTCTTCCTAAATGCTGCTTGCATACTTAGCACCACCTGACTGGTGGGCTGCACTATTACTCCTCATCCTGTACTTGAACCACTCGTGTACAAATGTGTATAAATCACCTTGACTAGCAGATATCGCTATAGGATCCTTTTTCCCCCCTGCTCCTCCAAAAGCCAATATAGCAATTTCTTCTGAGCTGTAGCATAAGGATGTGGTACCAACCTATTGCTATTGCACTCCTCTCCTCAAAATAGAGAGGGGTGAGAAGGAAACCATGAACCAGCTAGACTAAATTTCTGTACCAAGTAAAGTGGAGCAAATAGGGCAAGTCAGGAAGTGCTGCTAGTATGTGGTCTCCCTACATGTTCCTGCTTAATTTATTAGTTAAACATCCTGCTTGGATGCAGGAATTTGGCTTGAAACATCCCAAAAGTCCCTTTCTTTGGCATGGCAGTCAGAAGGGGGGAGCATGGAAAGTCACGGAATCCATGACCAACACGGAACCCTAATATTAAACTGAGGAATTTTATTTGGGGTGCTAATGCTGGCAATACTTGGTATGGGGGGATTGGTAGATAAATGTTCTTGCACCTAGAGGCTCTGGCAAACAACTTAATGTACTTTCTCCAACCTATTTAAAAACCAGTACTCACTTGCATACTTTCTATTGAAGGTACATGTTCTGGTATGGCCCAGAGTGTGTATAAATGCTTTAAATCATTTTGAATCAGCGTTTAGAAAACTTATAGATGGCGCGGCTATAACCCATACAAAGGGCTTAACACAAGAGTCTGAGATGTATCTTGCATAGTACTTTCATCGTTGTGCCCTATGCTCTGGAGCTAGAGTTGACTGATCTGAATTCACAGAACATTGGCTACCCAAACTTGTCTAAATGCATTCAGATGAACATGCTTTAAGAACTTATGTTTGAGGACAAGAAACAAGATACAACCTTCCTAATTAAAAGATTATCTACCAACGTAGGCTTGTTTCTATCACTCTGAATTCCAGTTTCAATTTTTGATTTATTTGCAAGTTGGAAAATTGATTCAAATTAGGACTTCTATGCATTGTTGTGGAATTTAATTTCACACATTATAGATTTTGAAATTTACTGTAATCTCAGCTCAGAACTATTGTTCCGCGTCACAGTATAGTACAGTCTGCTGGTTGAATCTAATTAGGGTGTTATATCACTTGCATGCAGTATGTTTCTTTGCCTAGAATGCTCTACAGTTCCTCACTTGGGAATAACACTTGACTAAATGCTTCCTGCTTTGATTGAAAATCAAATAAAAAATTGACAGCTCCTCATTAAGAGGCAGACTTTCCTCTGACTATATTGTGCTATCTTTACAAAAATGCTTAACTGTCGTTTCTAGCATGACTACTAATAAATTGAGTGTTAATCTTTTTTACTTCATCTATGTTCATATGCCAGAGCTGTATTTCAGAGCCAAACCTCAGTATATTACAGGGCTCCTTGGAATATGTAAAACTTCTTATATATGGGTTTCACCTTAGATTACTTCTAGTGTTTGATTGCTTTATAACAGCAATCAAACAGTAATATTTCTAAACTCATTAGTCCTGACTTAAAAACAAAAGTAACTAGAATTTAGACTTCTAATGTGAAACGACTGGGGTTAAAGAAATGTATCTATGTATATTACCCAGACTTGACTGTAATTGAAATAGCTGTCTGCAGAAATGAAACTCTCTCAATACTTAGTGCATTTAATTCCAGCTTGGCAGTTAAATCACATTTCACAATGATTCTTTACTGACTTCTTGTTGCTTTCATTTTAGTGCATGTGATGTCTTTGTAGCAATTTCATAACAATTTTGACTTTCATAGCTACTGTTTACCTTTTCTAAAATTTGGAAGCAATTAGTGTTGAACTACTAGTAAGACATGCTACATGAACAATGAATCATTGGGTTTAAAAAAAAAAAAAACCCATATACTCTAGGTAGGGGTGTGGTGGTTTTTTTTGATCTTCTGTAGTTTTTCTAGTTAGAGTGCCAACCTCTACAGCTCCTGTCCAGCATTAGAAAATATAAATACATGGAAAGCAGCTGAATGCAAGGCTGCTTACTTTTTGGCTGCTTAACCAACCCTACTGTAAAAGCACAGACTATGTTGGAGCCCGTTGAATTTTAATACTTTGTCTAGCAGTTGATTTAAACCTTCATACTGTTTTTAAGTACAAATTACAGTAGCACCCAGAGCTTAATGAAAGAAAGTGCAAGTACTACACGTGAGAAGGAAAATCAAATGCCCAACTATCAAATGGGGATAACTGGCTAGATGGTGGTACTGCTAAGAAGGATCTGTATAGTGGATCAATAACTGAATGAGTCGACCATATGAGGTAATTGCAAAAAAGGCTAATATCATTCTGGGGTGTATTAACAGGAATGTTGAATGCAAGGCATAGGAACGAATTCTCCTGCCCTATTAGACACTAGCAAGGCCTCAGCTGAGGTACTGTCCAATTCAGGGCACCACTCTTTTTAGGAAAGATTTTCAGCATATTGGATAGTCCAGAGGAGTGCAGCAAAAATAAGTCAGGTTTTCTAAACCTTATGAAGAAAGGCTAAACTGGGCATGTTTAGTCTTGAAGAGACTGGGGGTGGACCTGATATATGAAGACTTGTATTAAGGGCTGTTATAATGATTGTGATCAATTGTTTTCCATGCCTACTGATGGTAGGACAAGTAGTAATGGCTTAATCTGTAGCAAAGGAGATTTGTTAGATATTAGGAAAAACTTTCTAGCTCTTAGGGTAGTTAAGCTCTGGAACAGGCTTGCAAGGGAAGTTCTTAAAAACCTCCAATGATGAGGATTCAAAAACAGGTTGGCCAAACCCTTGCGAGGGATGGTCTAGGTTTACTTGGCCCAGACTCGGCACAGGGGACTTGATTTGATGATCTCTCAAGGATGATTTCTTTCTAGGCCTACATTTCTGATTCTGTGCTTGGTGCCTCATTGTGCTAGGTGCTGTAGAACGACAGTTCCCGTTCTAAGCGCTTGCACTCTTAAGACTGAATGTCACAACAAAACAGAATGGATAAAGGCTGGGGAGGCGAATGTGTCAACGCTGATGGTTGAGTTACTCTTACCTAATTTATCTAAAATCTCATTTAATTGTGTTCCTGCAATAGCAGTTCAAGTTCAGCCTTCTCTCCATGGGACTAACCTAGCATGAATCTATTTTAACTTAAAATCTAGTCACATTTGTCTTCAGTGAAAGTAATAGGAATCATGACACCATTTTTGTCAAGTTAGTCTAAATATGCTGAAAATGCCAGTTCCTCTAGCTCCAACTTCTATTATGGGTTTTCAGACTGAAGATAGATACCAGTAAGACATCCAAGCAATTTAATGAAGATATTGGCACTAGTTGGCCAAAGTTCACTCTAAAACAATGTGCTTGTGTTTTTTCCAATACAGAGAGGAAAATATGAGATTCCAAAATGGCTTTCTGCTAGCAGTATACTGCTTCTACACCAGATGCTGCAGGTAAAGCAATGGGCTCTATCCAGACCACACTTTACAGTACTGTTTCGCTACTCAAAATAGCATTGAAATATTGACCCCAAAAGCCTAAAATGCAGCCTTTCAGTTCAGAAACTTTTCAAGAAAATTATCACTGGTCCTTCTGCTGAATGGGCTGTGTTCGTAGAACATCGCTCAAAGCACTTTCCATACCATGGTGCAGCTGTCATGTTGCTAACCTCAAAGTTGTCTTCCAGCATCTGTCTATTCATGAGATTGTAACATGGCTGTATAAACTTACTGCCCAAGTGTGCTTTTATAGCAAGCTAGATTTATAAAACACAAATTAGTTGGGCTACTGTTAACCATGGTGACAGTGTCAATCATCCCTTCAGCTACTGTTAATGCAGGTTTCCTTAACTGGCCTTTGTGGCCTGACTTACCTTTTTGGGGAAAGAAATTGAATCTAAAATATCTTGCCAATTTCTACTTGAACATTGACTGACTGACTAGATTCTCACTGCCCATTAGGTGGATCCAAAGAAGCGAATTACAGTTAAACATCTCTTGAATCATCCGTGGCTCATGCAGGATTACTCCTATGCTGTTCAGTGGCAAAGCAAATACCCAGTGAGTACACTAACTAGAGGATGACTATATACCACATAGTGACTGGAGCATAACTTCTTCCTGAATTTGTGCCTTAATGGATAGTATATGGTGATAATGCAAAGACTTCTAAGGGGCAGACCTAAAGATGACTAGTTACTTAGTTTAGCAAGTAGCTAACATTGAATTCTTCAAGGGTCTCTTCTTGTCAGAATGCCTATCCGAGATGACTCAATGTAAATTTCTTAATCCCCATGAAGGGGAAAAGACTTCAGTATGCTAGCTGCAGAATTTGCAATCTTTTTAATTTAAAAAAAACAATAGACCTGGTGGGTATTTTCACATCTAACTGGCGGGTTAGATTCTGAGCACTTGTGATGCAAATGAATAGTTGTATGCAGTAAGGTGTAGATTTTTGAAAATCAGGCACTTAGGTGCTGAAGAACAGTTCAGACTTAGGGTATGGAGTGACTTGCATAGTGCTGTTATGCAATTTTGTTTATTTCCTGTAGTCTCCTGTTTGGGATAAAACCTCACTTAAGACTTTATTGAAAACTCTCTATATCCCCTTCACCAAACACTGCACTAGCCAGAGAAGTTAAGCCAGCACAAAAATGAAAATCTAGCAAAGATTAGGTGCTAAACAGGAGGGAAAATATTCAGTTATGTACAGCCAATACCCACATTTGGCCATTGGGTGTCATTGTTTCTCTATGCAAAGAGCTTCTTTACTGTACATGCAACATCAGTTCTAACTCATAACTGCAAAGTTGTACAGCTGTATGCATTTTAATAGCTTTGTTTGTTCCTTTTTAATTAGGGGAGGAATCGAAGTGCACTGCTTTATCGCCAACAAAATCACATCTCTTTAGCAGTGTCGGTTATTTACCAAGGGTCATGGTGAATTTTCTATCATTGGCAACTTTTAAAATCAAGAATTGGATGCTTTTCTAAAAGATCTGCTCTAGGAATTATTTTTGGGAAAGTTCTCTGGTCTGTAAGCCAGGATGTCAGGCCAGATGATCACAATAGTCCTGTCTGCAGATGTTGGGCTGTCAAGCCAAGAGCCATCTGGCTTCATGGGAACATCCCATTCAAATGCTGATCTAAAAGATTTCACAAAGTCTGAAGCTTTCACATTACTAACTTGTTCTTGCAGCTTGGGCATCTTGATGATGACTGCATAATAGAACTTTCAGTGTTCCATAAATGCAGCAGGCAAAGTATGATCAAGTTAATTTCAGAGGTAAGTAACCTGCAACCAGAATAAGTTTTAAACTTTAACATTAATGGACTCCAATACTCATTGGTTCAAGTATGAAACTTAAAGCTGTCCATTGCAGTCTGATCAATACTCAATCCATAGGTTACTTAAGAATTCCCAATTCTGAGGTTTGGCAGGTTCTTGTCCCAAGATCAAGCCGATTATTAAAATTACTGTTGAGTTGGGAACCCTGATGTGCATGGTTGTGAAACGCACTCTTTAGGAACTCTTCTGTATTTGTAATTTTATTAATACATTTAGCAAAGTCACAAACACTCTAACCCAGCAAGGTAGATGGAGATAATACAGAATGTACATCTGAACATCCCTTGCAGAACAACCTGAAATGTTAGCCATTTTCTTCCTCCTCACCAGTGGCCATGCTCCTGGCACCTCCCAAGGGCCAGTGTCTCTCTTCTCTCCCTCCTCAGCACACAGGCTAGGATACAACTTTTATGTTATGATACGCTCATGCCACTATGCCTAATGCATATTCAGTAGGTGTTTCTCCCCTCTTCTTTGTTTTTACTCACCATACTAATATTGGGGTGCCCTTTCCTATAGGTTAGTATATTAATGATCCAAATTTATTATCTTGTGTCAATTTGTTGCAATGGCACTCTTGTGGTGTGCAGATGTTTTTATCCTAAAATATCCTAATGCTGGTGTTTAGCTCATACTCCTGTAGTTGCCTGGTGCTATGTACAAACTTCCCCCTTAAATGCTCTAGTCCCAGTTCCCCAAAACTTGGGGGGTGAGCATTGAGCCATCAGGATACAGGCCTGTAGGTTCCTTGAGTTACTGCTAAATTAAAATAAATGCAAAAGCAGTAGTTCTCAAACTTTTTGTACTGGTGACCCCTTTCACATAGCAAGCCTCTGAGTGTGACCCCCCCCCCCTTATAAATTAAAATCACTTTTTAAAATTATATTTAACACCATTATAAATGCTGGAGGAAAAGCCGGGTTTGAGGTGGAGGCTGACAGCTCGTGACACCTCCCCCACCCCATATCCCAACCCCCAGTTTGAGACCCCTGTGCTAAAGCTAGCTCTATGGGCTACACAAGACCAGTTCTCTTAGAGTATTACTATTTTAACTGGAAGCTCAGCTGTAGTTCTGACACTACATTTTGTGGATTTTTGTTTATTTTCCCCCCTTTTCCCTCATGAATCAATCAATCCCTGACATCAAAGTTTTTTAACCAGGATCCTAGTGTCCTATGTGGAATCCCTTGAAGATCAAGGGAAACTTACGGTGGTTCTTCACTAGCTGTGACTCCGTGTGCTGGGATGATTTGTTTTAAAAACAATTCAATAATTTCATGGAGAACCACTTCAGAATACTATCTAAACAGGAGAATTCTCAAATGTGATGCTGAATAGGCAGAGAAGCAATGTCTTGGTGTTTGCAAATATAATGGAAAAAGTGATGGAATAATGTAGCTATTCCATTCGGTAGCACAAGCAACATGACAATGTGGATTGTATTCATGGCTAATGTGCATTTTTGTTGTAAGTCTTCTAGCAGAATTCCACATATGTATAATGGTTCTGATACTCCTAGTTTTGATGTAAGATTTAATAAAGTGTTAGACTAGACAGTAAATACTATATGCTAAGCTATTGAACAGTGAAAATAAATAACTAATTTAGCTACTTGGCAAACTTGAGAACCCAAATTCATACTTAATGTTACTGTATCTAGTGGTATGCTGAAATAGCTCTTTCAGAGGGAATACCAGTTCTCCAGGTAGTAGTTATAGTAGAAACCAACTTCCTGATTGGAAATTGTGCATGGTGTGCAGCTAGTATGACACACATCTGGGGGAATGAGAACTGCTGGCTAACATATCTATACTTACTCCTGCTCTACAGCTTTGGAACAAACTTCAGAGATTACATCATTGTTCTCAGGCTATTAAAATGAGTAGCTCTCTTCATCCAGGATGCACAAATGATGCACTGATATAGCACTCTTTAAATCCTTTTAAAAGGATTTAATGAACTTAAAGTAAGCCTAATCTCACACCCCATCTTAGGAGGTTGGCAAGGACATCCCTATCTTTCAGATGGGGAAATTGACCAAGAACTCAATTTGCCTGAGGTCCTCCATTGATTCAGTGACCACTGGAAAAGAACCCAGGTGTTCTGTCTGAAACCCTGGCCATATTGAATTCACTGGGAGTCTTGCCATTGATTTCAACTGGGCAGGGGTTTTGCTCTGTCTTTAGCCTCTGCTATAATCTCTAGACCACATTTCCAACTTGCTTGCAGGAAGGGTGGCAGAGTAATAACAATGCAACTCCATTGAAGTCTATGGCATTACAGTGGGGTGAGCATACAGACCTGAAGAGTCCATAAGAAGTAGATTGTCCTTGCAAGAGAATGGGTGCTAAAAGTGTAACTTAAAGCAGTGTTTAACATGACTCTCTTAAATAGCAGCATTCTGACACATTTTCTTTGGTTTTAGTGGAAATATGATCAAATATCAGCAACATACCTCTTGCTTCAATCCAAGAAGGCTCATGGAAAGCCTGTCCGTCTATGGCTTCCCTCTCTAGCAGTAGAAAACGCTAGCATCACACCATCCAGAGAACTGAAGGTAAGTTGTAGGCCTCAGTACTGTACCATGTTAATGCAGTGTTTGCTTTTGCACTGGCTTCAAAAATAAGATCCCATTAAAAAGGGACTGTATAAAATCTAAATTGCTCTGGTCTCAGAACATGAAACATTATATATACGAGGACATACTTTCAACTGCATTTTCGTCAATTGAAATAAGCTAAGGCTGTCACTGAAAACTTTTCTTTATAAAGCTGGGAAGTGACTGACTAACAGCAGTTTCAGGCAGTTTCTGCTTAAGTTTTTCTTGGTACATAGTTACAGATTTATAAATGTAATTTCCTCCTGACATAAAAACAGAGGGCACCAGTTCAGTGTTTGGGCACTGGTATAATACAGTCCTACGGGGAATGCCATGAGCAAGTGGGCAGTTGCACTCACCCACAGATTGGACTGGTGCCTTTCTGTATTTGAGAGCAATTCAAAGTATGCAGTGCTAATTAGTGAAGCCCTTCCTGGGTGTGTCCCAAGAAACCACCACCTCACTATGTTCTATTTTAGTTGTTGAAATAAATTGTTACCCTTAGATTTAAATGTCTAAAGTTGGCATGGAGTTTGAGTGACTATTTTAACTTGGTTTGATTCTCTATTGATCTGACAGACTTCATCTTCGGGTAGCTGTCCAGGCCCTTGTATAAAGGGTGATAGAAGGCTATATTCAATTTAACTTGGAGTTTGACAGCTTGTATTCTGATAATTTAGGGCCCTACCAAATTCAGGACCATGAAAAATGCATCACTGACCATGAAATCTGGTCTTTTTTGCATGCTTTTACTCTATACTATACAGATTTCACAGGGGAAACCAGCCTTTCTCAGATTGGGGGTCCTGACCCAAAAGGGAGTTGCAGAGGGTCACAAGGTTATTTTAGGATGGCAATACCACAACCCCTCTTACTTCTGAGCTGGATGGCCGGAGAGCGGTGGCTGTTGGCCAGGTGCCTAGCTCTGAAGGTGGCAGCAGCGCAGAAGTAAAGGATGGCAAAAGCATACCATGCCATCCTTACTTCTGTGCTGCTGTTGGTGGTGGCTCTCTTCAGAGCTGGGTTCCTGGCCAGCAGCCACTGCCTTCCAGCTCTGAAGGCAGCACCGCTACCAGCAGCTGTGCAGAAGTAAAGCTAGCAGTGCCGCAACCCTCCCTACAATAACCTTGCGATTTCTCTTCTCCTCCCCCCCCCCCTGCTCCTTTTTGGGTCAGGACTCCTACAATTACAACACTGTGAAATTTCAGCTTTAAATAGCTAAAATCACGAAATTTACAACTTTTAAAATCCTATGACCTATTGGTCGATCTTGTGTCAACTTCTGTGTCCCCCAAACAAAGTGTATTTTAACTATTCTTCCTGATCACGTGTTACTCCCATTTGTAACTGCGTGAACTCTTCCTGAGCAGTCAGTCCTACAGTTACTTATTTCATATATTTAAAAACTTCTCTAAAAGACCATCCCAGTCTTGTGCTCTGCTTAAAGTCTCTGGGCCTGTTCTGTAATGCCCAACTCTAAATTGCTAACCCTGTTTGCATGTACATACCATACCCGTGACCAGGTCAGTCACTTTTTGACTTACTGTAAATTGAAAACCACTAAATTCCCAGCTTGAGACAGGAATGGTGCTTTTAGTAGACATCTAAACTCCAGGGTAAAACATGCATCTATTCTAATATAAAATTGACTATTAGGAAAACCTCTCCAGATTGTTGGGATTGCACATGAAAAGGCATCTTGTCAAGAGCAAAAAGCAAGAGGCAGTCTTTCTATACAATTTGGGTGCAGCTGTTCCTCAAATATTGTGTTCAGGGCATCCCTTATTACAACTGCATTGACAAATGAGAAGGTGCAGCTACAAACAGGCTTGAGAGCGGCTATCCTGAAGAATAATGGAGTTAAATATGTATAATGTGTTTTGCATGGTTATAGTTGGGCATAACAGTTTGTCACTGAAAGGTATACATTCCAAGTGTAAGATTCATTAGGATGAGGCAAGGGAGAGGATGGACTTCAGAAGGCAACCTTCCTGACCACATCTATTATCCTGGAGACTTTTTGCTAGGATAAGTTATGGAAGCCTCATTGTTTGGGATATTGAAAAGTAGACTTGGCAAAACACCACCACTAACAATAAGAGCAATCCATCCGAGATGAGCCAGATACCTCAAATATCTCTTCTGTAACACAGCCCATTAGTCCCAGTACAATACACTTAACTTCTCGGTGCCTCGGCACTATAAGTGCCCTACAACATACCAGCTGAAGATCTGTTGGTGATCAGCCATTTCAGCATAGGCCTCCGACTGGAGCTGATCTACTATCTGTGAAAATAAGCTGGCAGGACTTCTTAATTTAGAGAGTTTTTTTTTTGTCTGTGGTGTCAGTGGCTTGAACATAATCAACTGTTATGACAAGCAGCTTGAAGTACGCAGGTTTTCCAAAAGAATGACTTAACTAAATCATACCTGGAATGACAGTGCTCTTTTCTAGTAATGCTTTTAAATTTCCCAACTGGAAATAGTTGGGTGTTCGTTGTGTGTGGTGTGTGTGTGTGTGTTGTTTTTTTTTTTGTTTTTTTTTGGTTGACGTATAGAAGCATTTCTGTAATGGAGTGAATTTCTCCTTGTCCATCAGGTCCTGTTCAGCTATTCATGGAGTAATGGGACATAATTTCAATTACAGAATCTGGCTACTAAATTCTTGGCTGCTGTTAACAGGTGTCTGATAAGGTCTTTATAGTAATCATCAGTGGCACATCTGGTCATATACCAGAAAGCTACACTTTGGCTTTCAACAGTAATGAAAAATCTGATCTTGGCAATATCCTTGACCACTGGCCAAAAGCCATCTGTCTCCAGACAAAACATGATGATTCCTTTTTATAATGGCTGACTTTATTGCTTTCCATTTCATTGGAGTGGTACATAACAAAACGAGGCCTTCCAATGAGTTTCTGCAATCCCCAAAGGGATATATTGAAAACCATCTCCTGTCCAGTCACTCTGGATTAGAAATTAAATATGTAGATTGTTGTGAGACTTTTACCAGTATTTCATTTGGGGGGGGAGGGGGTCCTAAAGCTTGGAGCTAAACAAGTTCATCAGGGGCTTGGAGAAAATGCTGTTGTGGGTTGACTGACTTTATCTTTAGGTTTAGATACTAAACCTGACACTACCATGTGACACTAAAGGTGGTTCACACTTTGTAAAACTGGAATTTGACTTCTCCCTAACAAATGAAGGGAGAATTGATCGTGGATCTTAAATATTTGATCTCTGACCATGAGGGGTGCTATTTCTGCCCCTTTACGACAAAAAGCAGTGTAAGCATCTGACTTGCTGCAAAACTAAGGCAGGTCTACACCAGTGCTTACTTCAATATAACTTAAGTTGCTCAGGGGTGTGGAAAAGACCCCCCAGCAATATAAGAACATGTTACACCAATCTAAGCACTGGTGTAGGCAGCAATATGTCACCAGGAGCCACGCTCCCACACTCAGGGAGGTGGAGTAATTATGCCGACAGGAGCGCTCTCTCCCATTGCCATAGTCTGCACTAGCAGTGTAGACCTGCTTTGAGTAGCATCGCATGTGCCACTAGCTAAACTGAAGGTAGCCTAGCAGGAAAGTCCCCTGGAGAAAACAAATGCAGGCACTCTTTAAAAGATGTGGGCCATAACATTACTACACCAATGGCAACAACTAAGGCTGCACCGTACAGAAAGATGGAAGCAAACCCTTCCTGACCTCTGGCAGTTTGAAGGAGCCCTCACGAACAATTGGCAGAAAATCCTGTCTGATTTGACATCAGTTGAAACCGTCTCATTTCCATCAGAAAGTGAAGGTTTTTGCTGATGTACTCAGCTTTAAATGGTTGACTTCCCATAACTCTTTGTTCCAAGGTATCATACGTAATATGGCTTTAACCAGCTGTTTCCCGTATTCCTTCACTATATTTCCTTTTTGGTTTGTATATATTTTGCATCTCCTCATGGGACCACTGCTGTAGTGTTAGCTAGTGTGGCAGCAAACTAAGGTGCTTGCATGTAGAAATCAATGGCAGGTATTGTATTTTTCTGCCCTTGATGCATAGGCTCCTTGTGTTTAATAGTGCTTTCAGCATAATGTCACATCTACTGATGTTGCTTATTAAAATTTTCATTGTGGACTTAGTCCTCCAAACATGATTTTTAGGTGACAAGTGACCTGAATGAGAACTTCCCGTGAGATACTGCCCATAACTAGAAACTCTATTAAGAGTAACGCTGTAACTATTAAAATTAACTCTCTAATGAAGATCTTTTTTTGATGAAAGTTTTCACTTAATGTCTCATTGGAATCTCCTTTTTCTTTTTAAACAGTCTAAAAAGAATCTGACTTACGAAGATGTGGAAGACTGTAAGGAAATGCCCTGTGCATTTGGATCCATGGAATTTTCAGATGATGCGCTTTACGAGGAATCTCCATTTGCAGGCTTTGCTCTATATACACCCAAAACAAAGCAGGTGCTTGAAGAATTACAATGATTTCCTATAACAGTTGCTCTTAGTTCAAGAGAATCTGTCTCTTTGACTCTTTTTAATGCACACTGCATTTATGTTTAAGTATCCATGCTTAGTGCTGCATAAGAGAGTCCCTGGCCAGAAGATCTTACAAAGCAAGATGAAGCCAAGAGTCTTTTGGTTTCAGATGGCTATTACCATAAACTATAACCCCTTTTCCTAGCTTGTGGGTCCTCGTTTACTTGGATGAGGAGAGGCCGGGGCCCTGATGCTCACCTCGTGTGTAGGGGCAGTGCAGAAGAAGAAACAGAAGTGGGGAAGGATACAAAAGGGATGGCGAGGCTGACATTGGCAGTGAGGATCTGCTAAAAGACTGGATGGGGGAGCAGCCATGGTCTCAGCCCCCCAAGCTTAAGTTAGTGGAAGCGCTTCTAATGAGGGGACACACCACTGACAGAAGGAGGATAGTGTTGACATCAACCACTGCAGTGGTTGTAAGTAGACTTAACATAGACTTAAAGGCATGTCTACACTTGAAACTTAACTACTTTGTGGATGGGTTGAAGAGAAGTGATCTGGGATTGGGAGACTAGGGTGAGAAGCTGAAAGAACTAAGGAGGATTAAGGCACAGGGTAGAAAGGGCTTAATTTTTTGTTCAGGGAGAGAATAAGTAGTGACGTAGATGTGTGGGCCCAGAGGAAGAAGTCTGGAGTACTGGGCTGCATGTGAGCTATGTTGACTTGACCCTTGTAATATATACTGTGTGTGGTCAGTATACTGGCAATATTTTTAACATTGTCCAGAGTTAATTCACCCTTACTTGATCAAATTTCTTGTAGCATTCAAAGCATCAGACACCATTGGATAGTGTAGAATTTACACCACCTCCATCTCCAGTGGCAAGAAGAGCAGCATCAAAGAAAAGTGAAAACAAAGAGAATTCTGACTTGGCGTTGACTATCAAGAATGAAGAGCCATTTGTGCTTCCTGCACCGAAGACTCCTCTTAGTAAGAGCCAGAAGGAGAAGAGGATGCAAACCACACCAAATCAAGCACTTCACTCCACAGGTGTGTCTTACTCTAGACTTCCATTAGCTATGTATGCGGGATGCTTAGGGTTTGTATAGCTGAAAATGTTCTACTCTAGCTAAAACTTATACCTACAAGAGTTCCTGGATGGCTTATTCCATCTTGTGGTCCTAGACTATGCAATACTCACCAGCCCACTCTTCTTGCTTGCTGTAAGAGGTTAGACCACGCTACGCAGAGGTAATGCATCTTAGTGCTACTGTTAGCTTACTATGAGCTGCTGTACATCCCTTCTCTTCCTCCTCTTGTCACTGCAGGATTGTGCATATTTTTTGAATGTACTTGGACACTTGTATAGCAACTAGCTGAAGAGTTTCCACTGTGTATACTCACAACTGACTGGCACATCACAACTTAGATAATAGAAGAGCGTGAAATGCAATCTCCCTTCCCTTCTTTGTTGCCTTGGGATAGGAGTATTTCCAATAAGTCCTCTGCCTGGGCTTCAAATCACTCCTTTGGATTACAAAAATACATCCGTTTCTTTCCTTCCTTCCCACCATTTAGTCTCCCTTTCAGATTCTTATGCACTAGCAAATGTCAGCATGTGAAATCCAAACATGGCAATGAAGACATTTCATACATTAGACTAGACTGGTCAACAATTTAAAAGCTCTGTTCTTTCTGGAGTTGTACTCCTAGGGCTTTCTTCAAAGCAATCTTCCCAAAGCTTTTCACCCCAGCTAGGCTACAGATCATCCCAATGGGGTAATGGGAGCAAACAACCTAACCAGGGTTAAGATGTAGCTTTATAACTTAACAAGTTATAAGATGGGATTGCCTGTGAGCAGGGAACTGGCCTCTGACCCAGGAGGTCCCTTTCAGTTTCCTATTACATCCATACAAATTATAGATCTTGCAGCCGTCCTGCCTTCCTCTTCAACCTACTAGAAACGTTTGCACTATTGCCTGTTGATGCTGTACAAATTGTTTGCAAAGATCAAAAATGAGACTCCCTTTGTAGTAGGTGTAACAAAGTATTTAAAACCGGTGGATGTGCTGCTCCATATTGTGCAAGGGAATACAATTCAGAAACCTCTTGTAGCACTCTCTACAGGCTTTCAAGGATTTCTAGTTGGCGAAGGATCTTGACTCAATGCTCAAGCAGAACATCCTCGTTTTAAGAGTAGTTCAGACCTTAATTTTATACTGACTTGACTGTACCCTAAAGGCAAGAGTGATGCATAGTAACTAATCTGTATATGGTTTACTTTTGGCTGCGCTTTCTGTGGAAACATAAGTGGCAGACGTCGGGTCTAGGAAAAGAACCAGGGTGATTCTGCTAACCTGAAACCAAAATGTTAAGGCAAAAGGTTTTTCTGCAGAAATTGAAAATACTTCTATTTTAGAAAAAGGAAACACTAACACTCCATTATAAAGACTGAAGCTGATGTAGATACTTAAGGCCATGCATGGCATTGTGCCATATTTATAATGCTTGACCTCAAAAGTTAAAGATGGTTTCCCACAATTCTATGTGTATGTATAACTAAGTAGCCTTTACCTGATTAAAGTTTGAGGATTCACTAATGCGCCATATACTTATTGTAAATGATTTTGATTATGGCAGGGTTAGGCCTTATCATAGGTTGCCATAAATTCAAATTTGAGTTTAAACAGCTGTATTTAAGTTTTAAATATTTGTCGTCCCCACCCCCCCCCACCCCGTTCAGAACAAAATCTGAAGAGGTGGCCATAATGCAGTTTCTGGATGGAGGCTGTTCAGGCTTTTTCTGGTTAACGTTTACTGGTACTTTGTGTCTGAGCGCATAGTGCCCCATAGCAAGAGCTGGGGGTCCAGCATCTGCCACAGTTACATGGCAATAGTAGCAGAGCACCCACCGAACTGCAGAACTTGGACCCCTGTAGTAGCCCTGTAGGAATCACTCACTTCTGCCAAGTCTGACACCCCAGCTGGGCACAGCAGGGATACTGGTGATCAGGACCATCACAGGAAGGGAAGGGAACTGATCAGCTGTTGGCTCTAGGAAGGGCCTAGCTCTCCTCCCCTTGTCTCCAAACTGAGAGTGGAAGGGAAAGTAAGAATCCACGCAGTCTCTCATCCCTGAAGAAAATGGGACCTGGGCAGGGTTGTGGCAGTTCCTCTTTCCTGCTAAACCAGACCTGCATTCACCTGCACACAGGATCTAAACTTCTGGAGTAAGGTCTCCTGACTTCTGCTGTGTATCTCACTCCATTTCTGTAGCAAGCTGGAACGTGTTTCAAACATTCAAATAGGTTCATTTAATTGTTTTCTAATTCCCTTATTCATTTACTGGTTAATTTTAAAGAACTATTTAAATGCATCTCTGCATTTCCATTTCAGGACCTGTGCTCTGCAGAACTCTATGGGAAGAGTAGACTGAGTGCAACTCTTAAATGACCTAGCAATACTCCTGTTGAAGGAATGGGATATGCAATTCAACCAAAGGGAATCACTGAGTTGAACTGAACTTAAATGTTTCTTGCCCACAAATTGGATTTGAGCTACATACAGCGTGGCTCTACTTTGAAGAGAGGCGACATATATTGCTTTAATCAGCAGATCACCCTGTATTTTAGAATCACCCTGTTTTCTTAAAGAAATGTTTGCTCCTGTTGGCTTGGCTGGGCTGCTGTTGCCTAATGAATAGGACTCTTTCCAAAATCTTAGGAGGCAACTGTTATGCAACCACTGCCTTCCATGGGGACAAAGTTGGCCTGCATAATTTATCATTGGCAGTAATGTGTGATGGAGGGAAACCTGGCTTCAGCCTTGGTGCCCAGACTGAATTTGCAGAGCTGTCCCTATAGGATTAAAGGCAACACTATAGTTGGCATTTAGCTTTATCTATAATGGGGTGGGGATAAGGGAACAGAAGCATTACTTGTATCTTAACAGCTTGGATTTCAAAACCAAATTGAAGTACAACACTGTACTGAAAGCACTTGAATTTGCCCACTCTGGCTGTGAAAAGTATCAAACAGAAAACTTAACTAGACAAATGGCTGTCTTGCCACAAATGCTGATTAGACTCTATGCCAGGCACAGTAGTGATAATCTTGAATGATCGAAATGGCAGTCCTAGAATACCAAACCCCATGGAGAAATGCAAAAGCACTCTTGAGGCAGGGAAAGGGACTCTGGGGGAGAGTGTACAGCTGGGATCTAAGTAACTGATGTTTGGTCTTGGTGTCTACAAACCATAATCCTCAGCCTCAGGAGGTTGGTACTTTTAAATATCTATGCCCATTTTACAGATGGGAAATGGAGGAGGTGACTTGCCAAAGGCTATACATTGAGTCACTGGCAGAGTTGGGACCAGAAGCTAGTTTTATCCAACTCTCATCCTATATTCTAACAACTAAACTATACTGCTTGCCCTAAGTCTGAGCAATTCTTAGTACCCTGCAGAAATGCCTCACTCAGTCTGAGGAGATGTTAAGGCGGGGACTAAGGAGAGTTGGTTTAAAATGACTGCAGCAAGGAATTTTCATGATCAAACGTCTTTTTCTTTGGAAAAAAATGTACCCATTTGGATTGGGTTCCTCTTTTTCAACAGAGAGAAGTCAGTGCCCTAAAGACACCCCAATTAAGAAACCCACAAGTCCAGCAAGTACAGGTGAAATGGCTGCAGCAGTCATTAGCCCAGAAAGACGGTAAGTATCTGGTTATTCTTACCTATTGCTGATTTTAGAACTGGACTACCTTAATCCTCCTATAGACTAGGAAGGCTTGTTACAACAGCACCTACTCTTTCATTGTCTTGGTTTAAAAATAAAATAAACTCCTTAAACCCCTTTCCTACACAGTAGAAAATATTAAAGGCAGAAAAGTTTAAAATTACACACTTCAGTAGTCTTGGATGTATTCCTATTTTCCATAATTACAGATTCACCCTTATTCCACTTCCCCAGAGGGCAGCTGTTTTCTATACACAATTCTCCTTAAATCCCAAATGACTATTGAATGATAATTCTCATAGCATCCTTTTAGTCTGTTTAGCTATAATGTATTCCACTTGTCTTTCTAAATACAGAGCGGGGGTCTGGTAAGACTTTAGTGATGTATCTGAAATGACTGACTTTCAGCCACTGAGAAAATGGAAGGTCTATTTTTTTTAATCTCTTAATGTGACAGGTGTCGCTCAGTAGACATGGATCTTAATCAAGTTCATGTGGATAGTGGCCAAAAGAAGAAAAGAGCCAAAATGTTTGGAAGTCTGGAAAGAGGCCTGGATAAAATGATCACAATGCTTACACCAGGCAAAAGGAAAGGATCCGCAAGAGATGGCCCAAGGAAATTGAAGGTAAGACTGCTAGGATATCTCCTTTATTTAAAGGAGATGGATTCTTATTGGGAAAGTCAATGATGTCTCCACATCACTGTTTCTAACTTCAGTTGTCTGAACTGTGTCCATTCTGCCTCTACAATAAAGTGCATGTGCTTTTGCAGTATTGCACCAAATCTACAAAAGCCCCACTTATTGCCAGTTGGTTTGGTTGTGCGAATCACTGCAGTCTGCTTCCCTTCCAGCTGATCTATACACGTCGTATAGGGGATGCAGCTGCAGTCAGACTTCTCCTGATCCTGCTCAGAATTCATTCTTGCCAGCAAAGTGTCATGGTAGCACTGGTGACCAAAACCTCAAGCTGGTATAAATGCAGCATCTTGATGTAAAAGCCTCGATATGAGTGGCCCTATCTGAAAGTAGCTTATGACAGCTCAGTGAAATCTGATCTCTGTCTAAGCTATTTGAATCCTCGATGGGAGATCTTCACCTTGAGTGGTGATGGAGGGAATTAAGACTCTAGTCACTGTCATTGTTCAGAAGCAAGAGAATTTGGACTTGTACTTAATGAACTGAATGTCCCTAGGCTACAGAAGGGTTTCTAGTGCTGTAGGGCACTATAGAAATCAAATGTCATGGGAAGTGTACATCTTAAATCTTATCCCCAACTAATAATGTATCAAAAGTTCATTAGGTGTCAGACTGTTTAGGTATTGCCTACGAGTCCAAATGAGGAGCCTGCCACCAACGTACTCAGAGTTGCTTGTCTGATTTTTCAGTCCACTCAAACTCTTGATATTGGCAGCCTGTCTGGTTCTTACTGGTGTCCAAGTAGGAAACAAAGTGAGGTTGGAGACTAGAGAAATGTTAAAGTATAAATCTCAAATGCTGTTGGGATGCCACTTGGGCTCTTAAGACCCAGAGGTATTTGGGCATATGCATGCTTATACTCTTTCTGTGAGAGCTTATACAAAAAATGGGTAGTAGGGCTTGCAGTATACACTAGCATTAAAGCACTAATATAGTATCCCCTATGTTAAAAGTAAACTAAAGGACACGTGGCTGAATTCTACAAAACTACCATAATGTCAATAAATTTCAGTGGTGCAGTACTGGACACTTGAGTGTATTAAACAGTGACTTGTACAAAATGTTTAAAGTGTGTTCTTGCTGCTTCAGAAAATTCTGCAGCTTATAATACACTGGAAATTTCATATAAGCAGAGCATGGAGGAAAAACTGTCTTGATTCATAGATTCTAGGACTTGAAGGGACCTCGAGAGGTCATAGAGTCCAGTCCCTTGCCCTCATGGCAGGACCAAATACTGTCTAGACCATCCCTGATGGACATTATCTAACCTATTCTTAAATATCTCCAGAGATGGAGATTCCACAACCTCCCTAGGCAATTTATTCCAGTATTTAACCACCCTGACAGTTAGGAACTTTTTCCTAATGTCCACCCTAAACCTCCCTTGCTGCAGTTTAAGCCCATTGCTTCTTGCTCTATCGTTAGAGGCTAAGGTGAACAAGTTGTCTCCCTCCTCCTTAGGACACCCTTTTAGATACCGGAAAACTGCTATCATGTCCCCTCTCAGTCTTCATAACTCTGGAAGTGGCGAGGCTTTTTCTGAGGCCTAAAACAAATCTAATCAAATAAGTGGTGTATGTCTTAAGCTGGCTAACTACTACTTGAGGCACCTGCTAACTAAAAGCTGGTTATTGTCAAGAAAATGGAACATAAGAACAGCTATACTGGGTCAGACTGAAGGTCTGTCTTGCCCAGTATCCTGTCTTCTGACAGTGGCCAGTGCCAGGTGCATCAGAGAGAATGAACAAAACGGGCAAAGCGAGTGATCAATCCCCTATCATCCACTTCCAGCATCTGGTAATCCGAGGTTTAGGGACACCCAGAGCATGGGGTTGCATCCCTGACAATCTTGGCTAATGGCCATTGATGGACCTATACTCCATTAACTTAGCTAAGAATCCAGTTATAGGTTTGGCCTTCACAACATCCCCTGGCAGAGAGTTCCACAGGTTGACTGTGTGTTGTGTGAGGAAATACTTCCTTCTGTTCAACCTGATGCCTATTAATTTCATTAGGTGACCCTGGTTCTTGGGTTATGTGAGAGAGTATAACTCTCTCTCTCTCCACACCAGTCACTATTTTATAGACTTTTGATCATATCCCCTTAGTCATCTCTTTGCCACGCTGAACAGTCCATCTTTTTAATCTCTCCTCATGTGGAAGCTGTTCTATAGCCTTAATCATTTTTTGTTGCCCACCTGCTAACTGTGAAAGCTGGTTATTGTCAAGAAAACGGAGCTCAAGAATTGATAGCCTGCATTAACCCCAGTGCCATCACCACATTCCAGTCCAGAAAGCTTTTGCCAAATGGCACTGGTAATACTGTCAGCCTTTGACAAGTCCAGCATGTATTGGGCTATGAGCCGACCCATCTGATAGGTGTCCAGACTGCGCTGGGAATACAGAAACTTGGGCACCAGCAGGCAAGTGCGTGCCAAGTCTGTTGTGCTCCAAATGCTTCTGCCATTGACTCTGCTTCTCAGGCCTGCGGTACCTGCAAAACTGCTAGTGAACTTTGAATGCTTTGGAGTAGAGCAATGCAAGATACTCAATTTTAAAGTTCCTGGAGAAGCTCTGGCAGTGAGTTAAGATTAGATTAGATTTCATCTCTAGGCCTCCTAGTTCAGACTAATTTCCAGTTGCTTCTTGGAAATCTAAAGGTACTCTTTCAAGATCTACTTTTAGGACCTAAACAAAGCACTTGTATAGCCACCTTACAGTTGGTAGGAATAATACTGCATACAGTGTACCCAGCTTCCATGCCTACTGTGTGGCTATAGGAGTCTTTTGAAAAGGGATATCGTGTATATAGCCACAAGTCCCTTATGTACAGTGGTAAAACATGTAAGCTAAAATGGCTCCAATACTCCAAGGGTGAGTTTGTGTTGTGCTGCGTAGAGGCATAGTACACAACTTGCAGCCCAGGGGAAGGGTCCTATGGTAGCTTTAAGCCACTTTTTCTTTCCCTTCCCACTCTTGGGTTGCTCTGGGATTGAAGAGTCCTACCCCGCCATGGTGACTTGGGTCCCACGTGTTGTCTAAGTTACAGCAGTTTCACAGGGTTGTCCTATGGGCTACAGCACTACTCCAAATCCCTGCAGTGCTTCAAGTTGACAGGCCACCTACACCAGGACTTGCAATGAAGTTTTCTTAGGACAACCTTAGGGCTGTCTTCCATGGTGCCTGTACCAAGGTATCCTCCCTGGCCATATACAGGTTTTTTTTTGGGCCTCTCTGCCTTTTGATCCAGTGTAAAAGGGTCGGAGTAGGGATGAAGATCTCTCCCTCTGTCCCCGATAACAGGGAGAGTTGATTTTCTTCAATGCTGAAGCTTCTGTCCGTCTTGTAACAATGTCTGACCCTGAGGCACTGTTGGAACTAAGCATTCCTTGTTGCTGTTGCTTAGTTTGATTACTTCAAGTAGTGTCCCTATGGATGCTCCACTTCAGGTGCACATGCACATCTCAAGCCCCTGATCAAAATTTTCCATTAGTAGTGTCCATTCAGCCTGTGCATGTGCTCTGCTACCTTATGCCACACACCAGGGATACCTAGGACTGCCTGGGCAAACTGCCTTCAGTTCCTTCTCTATCGCCTTGGCCTGAACCAGAGTACTAGCATGTCTGCCTTGAGTGTGCCTCAGTGTGTGGTGGTGTTTAGTTTGTATTTCTAGTTAGTATTAGTTGTTACTATCTAATTCTATAGTAGTGAGAGGTTGTGTTTTTCTTTCCATTTCCCCACTCTTTTCTGGGAAGCTTATTCAGCATGGCTGGGCATGCCTGGCTCACCAGGTTTCAAACAGTGCCTCTTGCTGGGAGGCCATCTCAATCAGCAATGGCCACTTGAAGTGTATCCGTTGCTTAAGAACATAAGAATGGCCATACTGGGTCAGACCAAAGGTCCATCCAGCCCAGTATCCTGTCTACCGACAGTGGCCAATGCCAGGTGCCCCAGAGGGAGTGAACCTAAAAGGTAATGATCAAGTGATCTCTCTCCTGCCGACCATCTCCACCCTCTGACAAACAGAGGCTAGGGACACCATTCCTTGCTCATCCTGGCTAATAGCCATTAATGGACTTAACCTCCATGAATTTATCTAGTTCTCTTTTTTTAAACCCTGGTATAGTCCTAGCCTTCATAACCTCCTCAGGCAAGGAGTTCCACAGGTTGACTGTGCGCTGTGTGAAGAACTTCCTTTTTATTTGTTTTAACCTGCTGCCTATTAATTTCATTTGGTGGCCCCTAGTTCTTGTATTATGGGAACAAGTAAACAACTTTTCCTTATTAACTTTTTCCTTTTTTCTGTTCACTTGCAAGAATCCCAAATCTTGCAGAAATGTAAGTGTGTGGTGTGTGTTTTTTGGCCTGGCTCTCAAATCCTGAGCCTGAAAGAATCAGGAAACCAAACTGAACTTGGTGATCAAGCACTTCCATCAACCCACTTTAGAGTCAAGTCAGGAGACCCCCTGTACATCAGACAGATCCAATGCCCCTTTGACCTCTGCTAAGGTCTCCCCTAAGAAGGGGAAGATCTCTGGCTCCAAAGAGGAGCTCAGTCTTGGGAGCTGACTCCTTGTGGTGGAAGAGATCCCGATCTCTCACTAAGTCTACTGTGTCAGAGACATTGACATCACCACACTATACCATGCAGGCAAAACTCTTCCTCTAGTACCAGCAGAGCAGGGAGATCCTGGAGTAATTCAGAGAAGCATGGATCCAGCAGGTACTTGGTATAGTCTAAAGGATTAGGAAGGTCCAGGATGTGCACTTCTTCTAGATCAGCACCATCTGCATCAGTCTTACCGGTAGTGCCTTTCCACTCAGCTCTGTTGGTACTGACAAAAGTGAAGAACCAGACCTTTGCTGCTGGTGCCTGCATGCTCCAGACCAATGGTACCATCCACTTCAACTGCTGTCAGTACCAATGGTACCTCAGGAATTTCGCTACTCCAGGGACTTGTCAGTGTTTGAACCAGAGTTCCCACTGCTTATGGGTGCTAGATGACTCTGTACAGAGACCAGGGTCTCTAGATTACCATGGCTTCCCAGTGCCACAGGCTTCCCTCTGACCTCTCTTTTTTTTTATTTTTTTTTTATTTTGCAGGAGGCCATAAAGGAGGCTAAAGGAAACATTAAATCAGCCTCCTAGTCAGTACAGGATTCCCCTCTCCATTATAGACACCCATACTTTGACAAGGATTCTCATCCACATCAGGGATGGTGGGATCGGTCCTGGCTACCACCCCCTCTCCTGTATGGGCCTCCCCAATGTCCATACTGGGATCTTTGGATGGTGTAGCAGTTTGCTGGACACCTGCTCCATTGCACTGGGAGACTAGGGTGACAGTCACCTCAACCAAACCCCCAACACAAGGAGACCTTTGAAGAACAGAAGAATAGGGCAGGCAAACAAAGGCACTTCTCAAACCCCTATTTTGTCTTCATCTCCAGACAATGCAGTTATGCCTCCACCATCAATGGCCAATAATTGATCAGTTCCAGGACCTTATCAAGAGGGTGGCTGGCTAACTTCCTCAAGAGGTATCTAGAGGGTGACTCACAACACAAGCTCCTGGCTGTTGCTGACTGCAGCACATCTATCTGGGTTGCATTACCCATTAATGAAGTATTTTTGGATCTAGCAAAGACTGAGGCAAACTCCTGCAACCATCCCACTAACTAATAAGTGGCCTGATAAGAAATGTGTTCCCTGAAGGGACTCAGAACTTGTTTCCTACCCTCACCTAATTCCCTGGTGGTGGATGCTATAAGCAAACAGGGTAAACAGCATTACTCAGAGCCTGTCCTTTATCATAAGGACCAGAAGAGGTTACCCCTTTTTTGGATGAAAGGTATACTCATTTGTGAACTTCCAATTTCAGATCACAAACTATCACTTGGCCATGATCACCTATGACTTCATGAATTACAACAAATTTGCAACCTCTACTGAGCACTGTCCACAGGAGCCTAGAGAACACTTCCAAGCCATCATTAAGGAGGGTCAGAAGAGCCAGAATTCCTCTCCAAGCATTCTTGGATGCTGCCACAAGGTCCATCACCACAGCTATTGTCATGCGCAGGGCACCATGGCTCCAGCTGTCCTGATTCCCTAGAGAGGCTCAGAATACTGCTCAGGACCTCCTATCTGATGGTCCGAAGCTCCTTCTGGGGGACTAGGGATGAGTCCCCGCACATGCTGAAGGACTTCAGGACCACACTGAGGCCTGGTGGGGGGTGTTATACCCCTACAAACAAAAGATTTAGCGCATCTCAAACTGCCCAGAGATTGCACCTGGGTCATTTCTCTGGCTTTCACAGAACCACCAAACCTGCTAGAAAGACAAATTCCACAGCAAAAGAGCTGCTCAACCTCTTTCAGCAAGTACCTAGTCATCACTGAAACAACTTTGATGGGTTGGCCAAGGGCTTGAATCCTCCCCTCAGTTTGCAAGCTACAGCCTTTTGTCCACCTTCCCCATTTCCAATAGACCTGGTATCATATTGCAGACAAGGGGGTCATGGAGGTTAACATCAGGCTACACAATCCTCTGCATGATCTCCCCTTCCTCATCCCTCTTCAGGGCCCCTCTCATGAGACTGTACTGAGTCAAGAAGTTCACTCCCTCCTCTTATTTAGGAGCAATAGAACTGGCCACATCCCTCACAGGGGTAAAAGGTTTTACCCGAAGTATTTCTTCTCATACCAAAGGAGGACAGAGGGTAGAGACCATAAATTGGATCTACTATGACTGATCAAAGATTGAAGTCTCAAATTCAGGATAGTGACTCTGGCAGCTATCATCCCTTCTCTAAAGGCAGGCGCTTGGCTGTCAGCCCTTGACCTACAGTATGCCTATTTCTCCTGTATTGCTATATGGATACCTACATATCACCATGGGCCTGAACCATTTTACATTCAGAGTTCTTCTCTTTGGACCCAAGGGTGCTTTCAAAGGCTCCTAGAGGGAGTAGTTGCTTACCTTTGGCAAGAAGCAATTCTAGTTTTTCCTGTATCTAGACAACTGGCTATTCAAGGGCTGAACTTACAAAGCAGTATTCACTTCCATCCAGACACCTTTCTCTTACAGGAATTGGGTCTCCAGCTAAACATGAAGAATTTGGCCCCTATGGAGAGAATACAGTTCATAAGGGTATATTTGGATTTGTTGGTAGCCAGGGCCTGCTTTCCTACAGACAGATTCATAACTGTTGTCAAATCTGGTTGGGACAATTAGGGAAGCCCCATACTACAGTAAGGAACTGTTAGCAGCTCCTGAGTCATATGGCAGCTTGCACCTTTGTGACAGACGATGCCTCCACTGCTTTCGGGGGTGGTTCAGAAGAATCTCAT